AGCATCCGGGCCCCCAGCCCCTCATCCCCCCCTGGAATGTGGACTCAGCTCCATTCTCCCGTAGATCCAGGAGCCCAGCTGCCTCACCAGGATAAAGGCAGAAGGAGAAAGCGTGGAATCTCTGTCTGGTGGACCATCGCCCCGATCCTCGCCCGACTCCTCTGTCTTCCCTCGAGACTCATCGTCCTCTTCCATGGTCACCTGGCAGTCGAGGGGCGAGAGTTCGGAGGGGAGGCCAGGGGGCAGCGTGGGGAGTGGAAGCAGGGGCTGGACACAATGGCTCGCGGGCCTCCAATGCTGCCCCAACCGGCATCCTGTTTGCGGGGTGCCCTCTTCTCCCCAGGCCAGTGCCCCCTGTACCCAAGCGAGTCCCAGGCCCAGGGCAGCCTCTAGAGAGACAAGAGCAATTTCCTCCCTGCCCCCTTGGATTTCAGCTGCCTCTTCTGTCGAAACGGGGCCCACTCAGACTCCTATCTCAATAACACTCCCAGTCCCCACAGCTTCCCCCACAACCTAGCCAAACTCCAAGACCTTGTCCCCCACCCTCGTGGGAGCCAACCCAACACCCAGATGTTTTCCTGTTGAGTTGTAATGTCAAATACTGTGTTCCCCAGTACTGCAAACCCACCTTTCCCAAACTGAGGTACGCGATCGTGTGCTGGGGGGGACTCGGCACCACGCCGCAAACCCCACACTGCTTCCTAAAGCATCAATTTTCCTCGACGGCGAGGGACAAGGAAAAACATATTTACAGACTTAATATAAGGTGGAACTATCAGAGTGTGTGTGCGAGGCCAGTCTGCCGCTTTTAAAACTAAAACGCTACACTTTGGGAAGCCACGCTGTCCCTCAGGCCCACCCTGTGGAAGCACTGTAGGCACCCTGGCGATGTCACAGAAATCCTAAGATTTTACTGCCGACTCAGCCAGCTGAAAGATCATCCTTCAGACTGGGGGAATGCCTTGATTACGGGGTTCAAATGATGACCTCAGTGGTAGGCACCCCCAATTGTCAAATCAGCCACTCAGCAAACAACACCCAGTTGCAAAATTCCGAGCATGCTCCAAGATCCCTATTCCCCAACTCAGCTTGCTTATCTGTAAAATAGGCAGAATGGTAGGCTCTGTCACAGAGAATGGCTGTGAGAATTTAAACAAGACTGAACCCTGCCATACACTTGGCACATCTGAGCTGCTCAATATGGAGTCACAGTAATTATCATTATTAGCCCTTAAAGTCAGTGTTTCCCTTACACCTGTCTCCCTACTCCCCTCAGCTGCAAACCTGTAAAGAAAATACTTCCTGCCCTGATCTAGCTCCCACTAGATTTCCAAGCGATCCCAAACCTCCACATTCAGCCTCCCAGTGCTCTAGGACATCAGGCCCTACCCTGGCCCCTATAAGCAAGCCCACCTGCTATGGAGATGTTCTCGACTGCTCCTCTACCTGGCCCTTTACAAAGACATGGTCCTCCTTCCCCAATACATATCAATCCCCTCAGCCCCTGTGGACAGCTCCCAGCCCAGAGCTGCTCTCCAGCACTTTCCAGGGAAGTCTATGCTACCTAGATCAGTGATTTCTCGACTGCTCCTCTACCCGGCCCTTTACAAAGACATGGCCCTCCTTCCCCAGTACATATCAATCCCCTCAGCCCCTGCGGACAGCTCCCAGCCCAGAGCTGCTCTCCAGCACTTTCCAGGGAAGTCTATGCTACCTAGATCAGTGATTGTCGCGACCAAGCTCGGCTGAGTCCAGACTTCTAGGCCCCCCCCACCCCAGCCCTCTGCAGTGTACGAAGGTGCTCCCTTGCTCATGTAGACATGACCCAGGCTCTTCAGACCCGCCCACAGCCCCTTAGACGTCCCAAGGCCCTGCAGACACTGCTAGATCTCTCTAGATCAGTGTTTCCCAAAGGACAGAGACTGAAAGCAGTTAAGCGCTTCACAACACAGCCTGTTATAAAAAGTAAATAGAAACCAATGGAAAACTCTTCACAGTACATTACAAGGAGTAACTGGAAATACTACTTCGTGGAACTTTGTTTTTGGTATTAAATATCTCTGTAAGTATGTACTGGGTCTCAATGAAAACCGTATTTCTTATTGTAGATCAAGGGCAAGAGTTTGAAAAACACTGCACTAGATGATCCTAAAGACTTTGGGAAGACTAAGGTGGACTGATTCTAATTCTCCTTATAGCCCCAGAGCAATGCAGGATTTTAAAGCATTTTCGTTTTGAATTACTTTCTGAAGGGCAAGTACATTTAAGCTGAGGACAATTTCTAGCACCCTTTTTTGTCTTATTCTCTGGGCCCCAAAAGGCATTCGTGTTTCTCCAGGCTTAGAGACTGTACTCTGGGAGATGTATCCCCAGGTAGTTCTACTACTGCACCCTAATCCTGGTAGTCACACCCAAACCCCTCAGCCTCCTGTCATCCAGATTAGACACTCCCCAGACCTTGAAGAGTCACTCAGGCCTCTTGGATACATCTCAGTATTTGCCTCCCTCCGTTGGTGGGCACATTCAACCCCTCTGGATCGCCCTAAAAGACTCCTTAGCCCTTAAATACTATTTCCAGGCTCGTTAAATGGCCCCAGACCTATGTAGATAGGCCGCATCCTCCGGCAAGTCCGTTGAGACACTTCCTAGCCCTAAGAGACATCCCCCAGGCGCTCTAGATGGCTCTGCAGACCTCTCACCCCTAGGAACCTATCTCAAGATCTCAAGATGGCCCCAGAACCCTGTGAACAGACCCTAGCCTCTGGTCAGCCCAAACAGTGCCTACATACAGGACCCAAGTCAGCTACATGACCAAGGGCAGGCCCCAGTCTCGGTCCAGGCCCTGGGGACGTCTCCAGTCCTCTCGGGAGTGGCCCGTAGACGCCTCCCGGCACCCACAGACGCGTCCTGGGGCCCTGAGAAGGCCCCCCACTTGGCGCCAGACTCCGCCGCCGCTGCCGGGCCCGAGGCCGCCCCGCTAAGCTCTCCAGGGCCCGCGGCGTGTAGGGAGGACCCCAAGACAACTAACGATTCGACTCCGCCCCGCCC